GAAAAAAAGAATGCTGAGAGCTACACTGAAATCATTCTTCTACAAAGGGCAACCATATGTGGCTCCGTATATAGGTGATGCTTTTCAAAACGAAAAATAGATGGTAAAAAATAATTATAAACCTATATTTTCACTTATTTTCTTTCTATTTAAATATAAATTTGGATGAACTCTAAATGTTTAGCTATATATACATATATATTTAGCTATAAATTAAAATTTAAAAAGAGTGTTTGCTTGTCCAAATATGTCAAAATGACCAGCTATTTCCATGGGATGTGTATATATAGCCTATATAGGCTATGTATTACAATGAACAATTAATATTAAAAAACAATCGCAAAGTAATCATGATGAATAGAGAATGCAAAGCACTTGGCTTGTCTAATAACCATGTTTCTTGATGTAAATAAACCTGGGGACAGTTGCATAAACTGCTTAGACTAGTCTTAAAAAGTTAGTCATTTAATTTTTTTCTTCAAGAATGGTCATAACTTTTTTAATTCAATTACAACAAAAAGGTAGATTGGTCTAATTTGAATCTCGGAAGTATGACCAACTACCCCTTGTCTACTGCTAGTTCTTAAGACCCAGTCTTAAAATAGTGGCTATGTTTTAGGGGCAACTGGCCCCTGTTTTGCACAGTTCAATCGGTGCATCTGTTTCTACACAGCACGACACCAGACTGTCATCGGAGTGCACTCATATAACGTGCACGCGCTATGCACTTACACTGTTTGCATACCCAACTCGCCTGTGTGATCGAGTTAAAGCTAAACAGTGACAACATCGCCTACTACTGTCACAGAATACGATGGTCACAGAATTAGATGTAACACTTGTCAAGAGGGCAGCGCGCATTGTAAGCATGAGATTTTTGTGTACAATATTTCAACCAGTACTGAAATTGCAATAAATATCAAAATAAAAGAAATAAATATCAAAATTTAATTTCAGTGAACGAGTCTATAGAAAATTCGAAACGAGTCGTCAGTCAAAATGAACATTTATTACAAGACAACATTTTCAAAAACCCTACATACATGCAAAACGTGCAGTGTTGGGGTGCCTCCATGGACCAGGGTTGGGAACCACTGGGATAGACTGTATAAAACATGGACATAGTGTCCGTGACGTCACCCGTAAGTTTCTGAAGAGCATTTTTGAAGCCTAAAGTGGGCGGAGCCGGCCGTCGCCATCTTGGCAACGCGTCACTCCCAGATAATCAAAAATGGGCAAAGAGGCAGGATGTGGGTGGAGCTGAGGTGATTGGTTGCTGAAACCACGCCCTCCTGGCTCAATGATCGTGACAGCGGCAATCCACCTGTCACTCAAATGGCCACGCCCTTAATTATGCAGAACTTTAAGGCTTAATATAACATAAAAAGATGAATTATAAAAAAATTCCCCCCTCACAGTTGTCATGAAGGGCAAAATTAGCTATATAGACCAAAACAACTTTTTATACCAGGCTGTAAACCTTTTTTTTTCTGTGGTAAATTTGGGCATTTTAACATGGGGGGGTCTAAGGGATTGACTCCCTTTTGGAGCCAGTCTCTATCGGCCAGTCAGTGAATTGCATTTTAAGTCACTTCCATGTTCAAGAGAGAGACCAGAAGGTTGCTGCTTGCTCAGTAGCGATCTCGCCAGTCAGATATCACAACATCTCCCCTTTCCCAAACAATGAACCTCAAAAACCCCCAGTATTTAACAATTCTGGCATACAACAAAAAAATCAAATTGTAACTATATATTCAATTCTTTACTTGACATGCTTTTCTAACGTAGAAGAAAATTATTGCTTTACTAACATTGGAATCTTTTCTCCATCTTTACATATTAACATACTTAACATACTTTCCCCTCTTTTTCCATTCAAATGAACACATTTGTCTCAACATTTTTTTCCAATCAAATTAACACATTTCTCTCTCTCTCTCTTTTTTTTCTTCAGCAATTTCCCCCCCTCTATCGCTAAGGAGATCAGGGTGGACTACCTGAGCACTCCTGGCACAGTGAGAGGATTATTCTGCCTCTGTGTTCACCGGCCATAAGCTAAAGATCCATTCGGCTTGGTGGTACTGACAAACGTCCCGATCTTGTGTAAGTTCCCGGTCTGGTAGGTAGAGCAGACTGTGGGCTTGAAGCTGGCTGTTGAACTGTGGGCGCGTAGCCAAACCTTTAGTTCAGACCTATGGCAGAAGGGCTGGGAACCTTGGCCGCTTTGAATGGCCAAGGACCACCCAAGAGGCCATATGATTGACATGTAAAGCAACCAATCACGTTTTGTTTTGTGCCACGTCATGTTTAGGGGCATGGAAATGTCCCCACAATAACAGACCAGTGTGTAAAACTCTTGGATGTATTTTAAAGAGTCTATGCTGTGAACTTTACATATTTCACATATTTTTGAAAATCCAGCGCTTAGTTGATTCTGATAAGCGCTCACTGTCACGGTTTGGCGACAAGGCATCTTTGTTTCCAGGCGGAACGTTAAAGAATGCGACACACACATCTGCCGGAAATCCTGTATAATTCAACTAATCAGATAACAACTTCGAAACTCCTGAAGTGTTTCCAATTTTGTGTTCCATATGCATCAGACGCTCAGCCAACAATCCGTGGGTGTGACATCTGAGGTGGAGACTAGTGGGCGTCTGACTATCAGGTATGTGATCATCTTCAAATAAGTCTGGCCAGTCCCTTTCTTGATTAGTTCCTTTCCCAGGGTTGTGCATTCGCACCAATGCCTGTCTATTGTGTTGAATTTGTCCCTAATCCAAACAGTTTCCCCAGGCTTTAGTTTTAGTGTTTGTTTTTGTGCAGGCACGTAGGATGGACTCAAACTATTTCCGTTTGTCAGCATCTGGGAGTTTTGGTGTGAGAAGTGACGGCAGCATTGGTAGCCCTGTTCTCAGCCTTCTGCACATCGACAATTCAGCTGGACTGTAGCCGTTTTCAAGTGGCGTAGAGCGATATGCAAGCAAGGCTTTGAACGGATCTGAAGTTTTCCCCAGGAGCTTTTTGACCCTTTCTACCACTCTTTCGGCTTCACCGTTCCCTTGAGGGTGCCACGCTTGTTATGTGCTTAAAATCAAACTCCCTCAAAAACTCCCAGAAGTTGGCACTGCTGTACTGTGGCCAGTGTTGCCAACTATTTTCAATGGAAAGTAGCTAAACCCTGCTTGAGCTAAATGTCGCTAAATGACGTCATGCGTCTTTTTGGCATATTGATGACGTCATCACGTCGTATTTGCATTCTGCTTAATGTCGGCACAGCACTTCAAAGCTGTTAAACTGTTTTTTCCCCTAATCCGTGCTCACAAACTGTTTTAATATTAGTATATATTAATATAAGCTCATGACAAGAATAAACGGTCAAAATAATTTTTCAAATTTAATACAAAGGAGAAGCTGTTAAGTGATTGGTCTGTGGCAACACAGCGTGCACATGCACAGTTCATTCACTGTCAGCTGCTGTGCGGTCAATGGAATGTGCTGCTCGTCTTTCAGTCACTCACTGAACAGAGCAGACGCTCAGAGGTGTGTGACTGCAGCGGGGAAGCAGACCTCGTGCTCGCACAGGACAGTACTGGTGACATTTAGAGAGTCGCTAAGGTTTGTCCAAAAAGTCGCTAGATTTGTCACTAGTCGCTTTTTGGAAAAAAAGTTGCTAAAGGGGTCTGAAAAGTAGCGACAAAGTCGCCAAGTTGGCAACACTGACTGTGGCCCATTGTCTGATATTAGTATCTCGGGCACGCCATTTCGTGAAAACACAGTGTGACAAGTGGGGTGGGTGGAGTTAATGATAATGAGCGACACCAGTGCCACTCACCGGTCTAGAGTCCCACGGAGGAGCTCCGGAAGGATGAAAGGAGTACCCCGAACCCGGAGGAGCCGTCGCCGTCCACCGGGGGCTATCCAACGCCACAGCCAGGCATCGCGGAAGAGGTTGCCCAGCTGGTGGAGGGCCGAGTGGCAGTGTGTCCGGGAACCGGACCGAGAATTTTTTTTTTATTTTCCTCTCTCCCCTCTCTCGTCTCTGTCTCTCCTCATCCTTCCGTCTCCTTTTCTCTCGCCTCATCTGTCCATACCCCCAGGTGCTGCAGCCGCCGTGACGGGGCCCCCGGAGGGAGTAGAGCGCAGTCTCGTAGGTACCCCTCGGCCTGCGAGGGGCGATAAGGGTATGTGACGAGTGGGGCGGGGCAGTCGTCCATGAGGGTCTGTCGCGCTATTTTCAGTTTTGTTTATTTTATTATTAAAGTTATGATTAAATGTTCGTCGGTTCCTGCCTCCTTCTTCCCGTGACTACGAACTTTGTTACACACAGCTTTTAAATGTTCTATTATGGCTGCTGAGGAGGTTGATGACAATTTTGCCACATCTATGTCTCTTGAATAGTAGTCGACAGTTAGAAGGTATTTTTGTCCTTTTAGTTCAAATAAGACTGTAGCAGCTCTCTGCCATGGATAAGATGGGAAGTCTGTAGGTTATAGTGGTTCTACAGCCATAGTGGAAGCCTTTCTACAGTCATCACATTGCTGCACCACTGTTTGCAATTGTGTACTCAGGCCAGGCCACCACACAGACTGTCTTACTCTTTGGCGACATTTCTCAAGTCCTTAGTGTGCCCGATGAATGTTTTCCAGAATTGATCTTTGGAGTGAGGCAGGGTTTATCAACCTTGTTCCATGTAGAAGCATTCCGTCAAGGATGGAAATCATGTCTCTTTCCAACCAGTAAGGTCTGAGTTTGTCATCTGCCTGTACTGTTCTCGGCCATCCGTGTTCGTGGAACCTCATCATTTGGAAGCATAAAGAGTCTTTCTTTAACTCTTGTCGAATTTCATCCAGCCGGGTCTTTGAAGCTGGAAAGCTTTCCCTTATTTGGCCAAGGTAGATATTTTTGTCTTCCATGAGAGTTGATTCAGCATCTGTTGCATTGTTCATACAGGGCATCTTGAACAGCGTGTCAGGAGTTACAAATCATTTCCCTGAAATATGGTTGATCTCATAGATCACGTAAGTCTCATTCTGAACCTTTGCAGCCGTGATGGTAAGTCATCCAGATGTTTTGTCCTTGGTAAACTCAGAAGTGACTTATGGTCTGTCTCGAGAAGGAAATGCTTTCCAATGAGGTAGCAGCTGAGATGTTCACATGCCCAAACAAGAGCTAGGGTCTCCTTCTCTATGTGGGCATACCTCTGCTCAGTTGGAGTTAACGCTCTAGATGTGCATGCTGTGGGTTTCCATGCATCACTGAACTTTTGAAAGATCACTCCTCCCAGACCAAAAGACGACGCATCTGCTGCGACTTTAGTGTCCTTGCTTGGATCAAAGATGCAAAGTTGGTGTTCTGATAAGCTCATTTTCCAGCATTGCGAATGACTCTTGCTGTGGAGTGTCCCGGGACCACAGACTTTTCTGTGAGAGTAGGTCACGCAGGGACTTTGTTTTCTCAGCTAGATCTGGAATAAACTTCCCCAGTTGGTTCATCATTCCCAGAAAGCTGTGTACCTCAAATTCATTAGTAGGCTCGTGCATATTTTGAACCGCAGCCAGTTTGTCCGGGTCTGGCTTTGTTCAACAGCATTGTTCAATTTTGTCAGATCAACACAAATTCTCACTGTGTTGTCAGGCTTAAGAACTAGAACCATCCCAGAACACCATTTGCTGGGTCCCTCAACATTCTTAATGATGTCAAGCTTCTCCATCCTGGATGAACTTCCTTGTCTTTATCCTTTAAAGGTCAGCTTGTAACACTCCAAAGAGAAAGGAAAACTTGAAATCGCATGATATGACCCCTTTAAAGGTACCGGGATCCATCTTGCTACATTTACAGAATATGGTGTTTCACTGGGTTGTAACTTGAACTGTATTCTTCTTTCAGCTCAACTAAGCCTGTGAAGAGTTCTGGATATTTCTCTTTCCACGGACATTCTGTGATGTTATCCAGTCTCGTAATGAGGTTAAGCCTTTCAATGGCATGTCTTCCCAAGAGTGGTGTGAAGAGTTGTCTTCCTCTATATTTTTTTCATTTTTGGAAATGGTGGTAGAAAATACCTGCCTTCTAACCTTTATATAATGTGTTTTATTCTGGATTTTTGGTTGATATTCTGTCTCTATCTGTTAAAATAAACCTACCATAAAAATGACAGACCCTTCATTTCTTTGTAAGTGGGCAAACTTACAAAACCAGCAAGGGGATCAAATAAATATTTTCCCCACTGTATATTAAGTAGCTTTTCTGACCATTTACAATGGTGTCATTTGCTTTGGAATATTGGGAGAAAACATGAAGATATGAGAAAAGAGATGGGCTCATATATATAATTTTAGTTTTCTAATGGTCTGATATTTTTTATTTATATTTACTTAGATATTTATTTCCATATATTATATTTCCTAGTGATTACATAATGTTTATTTTACAACAATTGGAACTCGATATTGATTTTTAGTTTTGTTTATAATTCAATTCTGGCAATCTCTCCCAGGGATGTGTGGATGTTTGGGAGCCCAAAGTCCTTAGGACAGCCATGGGCGCTCATTTCTGTCTCCCCATAATCCCAAGCCTTACATGGAGTGATATTCCAAGTCACCTGCCCAAAACAGCAACCATTCACGTAGCTGACAACTGCAGCACCACCATGACTGAAGATGACACTACCATACTCCCTCAAGAACAGGTCAGATGACATCAGTACCCAAGGAAGGTGGAATATGAGGATGATGATTTGTGTGGTTTTGAGGATTGTAGTAGCAAATCCCTCGAGACGCAGTATTATTACATTGACTGGGTTGCTAAGCACACAGGCCTCATAATTGGTGGAGAAACACACGGTCTGAGTCGGGAGGCTTTGTGATTGGCTGAGAGGACTGGAGGACTGGAGAACGGAGGTTACTGATCCCCATGGTACATGGTGTGGACAGCCTGAACTCTGCCATGGCTGCAAGTATTTTGCTTTTTGAAGGAAGCAAGCAGCTGCTGTCACTGGCTGAGAAGATGAGACGTTGACAGAGACCACAGCATCATAAAAAAAGATGCTAATGCCATGCAATCCTTACATAATTGTTATGTAATAGGAACACATCTAGTATGTTTTTCTGTGTGTAATATAAAAAAATGTGTATGTAAATTAAAGCGTTTATTCTGATAAGGAATTCATTTATTCATTAAACAAAAACAAAATGGAAAAATATTCTTGATTTATATATATATATATATATACATATATATATATATATATATATGTGTGTGTGTGTGTGTGTGTGTGTATATATATATATATATATGTGTGTGTATATATATGTGTATATATATGAAATAAAATATTAATATATAAAATATGAAATATACAGTACTAGTCACAAGGTTGGAAGCATTACGATTTTTAAATGTTTTTAATAAAGTCTCCTATGCTCACCAGGAGAAACGATGGTGTTTGGGTCAGTTTATGTGTGTAGGGATACAGATGTGAACACATACTGTGATCACACCTTCCGATTTGGAGCTCATGAGCACAAGGAAGAAGTGCTACATCTTTCTGGTGAGCTTCTAACATACACCCATGTCTGAGTGTAGCATATTCCAGTTAAACATATTTGGTATCATGTCAGTTACCACAGAAAATGATTTCTGTGTCCTCATTATTAAAATAAAGAGTCAAAATGCACAGTTTCAAAATTTTGGCCACAATATGTTTTGAGAATATAAGACTTGAGTGAAAAAAGGGATTACTGGCCAAGTGTAGGATATATGCAAGACATTATAAAGCAGGGGTGTCCAAACTTGGTCCTGGAGGGTCACTCTCTTGAAGAGTTTAGCTCCAACGTGCCTCAACACACCTGCCTCTGCCTGGAAGTTTCTAGTATGCCTAGTAAGACCTTGATTAGCTTGTTCAGGTGTGTTTAATTGGTGCTGGAGCTAAATTCTGCAGGACAGTGGCCCTCCAGGACCGAGTTTGGACACCCCTGCTATAAAGGGATGTCATGTTAATCACGGTTCAAACTGCAATTACATCATAACCAGAAGTTATTATTCTTAAAAGCATTTACACCAACGAATAGGACACTTGGGATTGCATTTTCATTAAAATATTATAAATGTAGCACAATGCAGTGTGGATTTCGAAATGCATTCTGAGCCAACAGTATTAACATGCCCATACCCTACTTCAACATCATTAAAATGCACTACCAGAAATTGACGGATATGACGGATGTTTAAAAAGTTAATTTTCATTTTCAACATTTTCAACAGAAAACAAGCAACCACAGCGACCTTGATTGACTTAGAATGCATTTTCAAATCCACATAAGTCAATCAAGGTCGCTCGCTGTGGTTGCTTGTTTTCTGTTTTAAACCTCTGGGCAATGCGAGTTAATAGATGATTTACCCCAAAAATAAAAATGTATCTGTCATCTTATACTCCCCTTTATGTCGTTCTGAACCCATGTGGTTTGCTTTCTTGACTGGCATACAGCAATGTTGGAAAGAATGATGTCAGTCAGTTAATCAGATCTTTTTTTCCCCCACAGAATAAAGTCATGTTGATTGAATGACATTAAGGAGAAATTAAGCTAAAACCATTTTTTCATTAGGGTGGGTACTTGTTAATATATTGCAACCATACATACATACATCAGTTCAGTTCAAGACATAAACTAACTTGCATTGTTATTACATTTTGTGATGTGTATAGTCTCAAAACATGTCTCATCCAATTTAGATTTATGACTTACAACCATTTAATGGCCTTTTGAACCTGCATCCTACAACATGGTTTGTGTGACCTGAGCAATGGCAGCTATGAGGAATGAAGTTGGAGTAACAAGCAATGCAGTGGTAAATATTTATATTGCATTCTTTGGGACATAACTATTATTCATATCGATATTCATTTTTCTCTCTTGATGCATCATAATTATTCAAATTTTATTTTGATAGCGTCTCTGCAGTCCATCAATGAGTTCTTCCTGGTGGAAAGAGTACTGAACAAATATCCTCAATATAAAAATATACTCTATACTATAAAATCTTACTCTATATGAGTAGAGTAAAAAGTACTTGTCCAAAAATCTACTTGAGTAAGAGTAAAAGATTAGCTTATTTAAAAGTACTCATGAGAAGTGAGTACTGAGTACTGAGCTGTGGATTCTACCCCCTTATAATAAACGCTCTACACTGCAATTTAAACATTTAGAAAACATTGTACATACTGTACTGTAATTCACATTATCTTTTGTTGTTTGTCAGAAAGAATGAAGAATATCTATCATCCAGCATTTTTAATTTTGACTGCCCACTCTTTAAAATACATCAAAACAATGCGGAAAAACGATTAAAGTGGTGAAAAAATGAAAGTTATTCTCAGTACAGTCATCACCATTTAAATCATAACGTTTGAAAAAATTGATTTAAAATCAGGTGTAAGGCCACTGAGCCTGAGTATGCTATTGCTGCACATAAAATATTAATGTTTAGAACAGTGCAAAGAATACAAAAACCATTACAAACTCATACAAGATTTCAGCCTCACACACCAGAGCCACTGCTGCTTCTCTCCCTCGTGCATATCCCATCATGCATCATGTTCTGGAAATAAATATAGAGATGTCATGAGATGTCACAGAAACCTTTCCAGTGTATGTTAAATATTAATAATAATTGGGCTAATAATGAAAGCACATAAGGTATTGTTATGGGCTAATTTTGTTGTGCAACAAACTCTGAATTGAATTTAACTAAAAAAAGGCAAGTAAACAATCAGTAATAAAATAAGAACAACTAAATAAATGACAAGCAATAACACAAATACAATAACAAGATGCAAATGAAATTAAGTGCTTATACGTTTTTCAGGTAGTTCTAACAGTAAGGTACAGAATACTAAAGAAAATGAATAATCTATTCAACTGTAAAATAACATTGGATGGTCTTCACTGCATAAATAAACAGTAATGACACAGACAGCAGCAGGTTTAATTAGGCTGCTGTCTCTTTAAGACCTTGTGCATAGATCTACTATCCTGTTAGTTTTGTTTCTCAGCTGTTCCCTTAATATATAACCGACTGTGTTTACGTGAATACTTGCCAAGAAGACGGGCATTTTTACATAATTTTGTATATATTTGGCCATTTATGTACAATAAAGCGTAAAAAATAACTCAATTCTGTTGTTGCGCTCTGTTTCAGAGGTGCCTGTATATGCGCGCTTTTGGGTTTGAGTGCACAGGAAAAAGTCTCTCAAAGAGCACGCAAGTATTGACCATATGCACGGAGCGTTCTTTAGAACTTCCGCATAAAGATAAGCCAGCTCGTAAACTTCCGGTGAAGTTCATTTGATGTTGTGGTATATATAGGTAGAGACTCTTGAGACCCTCAAACCTCTCCTGCCTCGTTCTTGTCAGAAATTGAGAAACAAAATAATTGCAACACCTTAAATAATGATAGCGGGCATTAACATACAGTTTCATGTTATTTAACAACATTATATGCCGAGCCCGGTAATCCCAGGAGTGTACCTAGACATGTAATTGTACATTTAAGACAGTGTCTTAAGAACTAGCCTAACCAATAGCAGTTAGCCAAGCAGTAATCAGTCTTATTTTTTGGATTCAACACAGACAAATCTACACTTTTAGGTAACAGAATTAAATACATATGACCAGTCTTAAAGAAAAAAAAATTGATGGCTAACTCTGTAAGACTAGTCTATACTTGTTATGCAACCGGCCCCAGTACGATACGTCCATGTTTAGAACAGAAAATGGACAGAACAGTATTTCATAATCTTCACACACTTAAAATCTTGCCTTCAAACTCAAATTTCAAAACTTGTCCTTAATTGGCTTTTGGTTCTGTTTGTTTTTGCACTGGCGAACAAAAAAACTAAACAAAAAACATTTCACTAGTAATATGTATATAATGTATATATGACAAATAAAGAACCTTGAAATGCAGCTATATATGATAATAAATTAAATGAAATTATATTTTAAAAATAGTTATCAATTTAATAATTTAATTAAGTTATTACAAAGGACGTTATTTATAGTTAAAGGATTTAAGTAATGTATTGCTATTTATTTCATTTATTTTTTTCCCTTTAAACATTGTGAAAAATAGATATTTCGTTATATGGACAAGAAAATGAATGAATGAATGAATGAATTCAATTAGCAGAACTAAACGACTCTGAGAAGCACGCTCCCTAAATGTGCATTAAGCTTATGTATTGACATAATGTAGCCACTAGATGTCAGTAAAAACACATTAAAGCAACTAAGTGGCAGATATATGTGCGTTTCTTCATCTGTGGGGACTTTTGGCACTGTGGACTTAGAAAAGGACACGGTTCCATTTTTAAATGTTTACATTTTTAAATAAATAAACGAATTACTGCTTGATGAATTGTATTTAACAGCATTCTGTGATGGAATTGATGGTGGAGTAAATGTAGTTTTCAACCAATTTAGAATAAAATGCCAACTGCTTTATCGTGCTAAGGCTAATTTCATTGCTAGCGAAGTTAAATAACCTTTTCTTTTTTTTTTTTTTGGTTTTGCACGTTCACAAAATTACAGCTTGGCTTGAAATAACCCTACACTAAGTGATATTTACTTTGATTGAAACCTGGCATAACTGTTATACCACCAATCTGTCCAACTCCAACTATAAACTAAACAAATAAACGTCTTCCATATGGTTGCATTATTTGCTGTTTGTCTATTTGTCTTGAGCAGATAAGTGCATTCCCTCACATTACACCTCTTAGACAGCACCTTGTTAAGTGGCCTTCTTAAGGATCAAATCAGATGTAGCCAGAGGCATCTGCTAAGTAAAACTATTTGTGTGTCAATCCTTAATTTGTGGAGAAACATTTTACAACTCCTCAGAGTAAGTCCCTAAAGATTCCTCACTGAATGCACCCCACAGAGCCGGAGAAACGTGGCCCCCGCTAGGTGTCTTGCCTGTGGCACATTTTACCCTTTTGCGTTTGAATGTCAAGACTC